ATTCAAATCCCGGGCTTCATTTGCAACTGCGGATGACTACATTACCCCCGCTAGTTCGAACTAGCGGGGTAGTGTAGACATACCTTGAGATGACACCGAAAGTTCTCAGGTCAGACAAAGGTGATGTGTATGGAGCAAGCAGGCCCTTTACTGCAGGGGCACAGCTGTCCCTGGGGGAAGCCTCGCTATCCCCACATCCTGGGGACAAGCAGGCATGGGAAGATGCTAGCCAGGTCAGGAGCCTTCGGGCAGGAAGGGGGTGATGGGGCGGCTCAGCTTCCTTGCCTGCTGCACACACGCCGGGTCTGGCAGTGGCAGAGATCCCGCAGGGAGAGAACTTCTGTCCCTGCCCGCTGGAGTAGGGGAAGGGGTTGCAGGGGCTTAGTGTCCTCTGCCTCACTGTGTTTGCCCCGGAGAGCATATTGCCCCCGAGAGAGTGGGCCTGACCATGTGACACTACTCTGTGTGTGTGTATGTGTGTGTGTGTCCTTAGTGGTGGCTTGTGGTGTGAGGGTGTCCCACCATGGAGTTGGGAATAAGGCAGGCCTCTCCAGAAAACCTGTCAGCAGGAGCACAAGGGCCCTCTGAGGCAACCTCATTGTGGCTGTGTGCTCTGGCCTGGCGCTCCAAGTGCACAGGCTGCTGTGCAGTCCCCAGGCCGAGAAGGCCAAGAGAGGAGTGTGCAGCCTGATTCCTGGGTGACATCCTGGGAGAGTGGTATCAGCTCCAGGGACTGGCTGAGTTCCTGGCTGGTGGACATTGTGGTGTCAGTGGCCTGCTTGTCCTCCTCCTCCTTGGCCACAGGCCTGCCCTTCAGGAGGGTGACAGTGGGTGTTTCCAGCCACAATGAAGGAAAGAAGGCACTGCCCCCCCCCCAAGATGTGGTGGAGCTGGTTGAAGTAGAGGCAGGTCTAGGGTGCTGCCCTTGAGCAGGAGCTGTACTCCCTGGCCTTGATATAGGCCTGCCTGAGCTCCTTTACTTTCATGCACACCTGCTCCTGGGTGCGCATGTGGCCCCTCTGGACCAGGCTGTCAGCCCTCCGGATGCAGGTGTTGGTGTTTCTGTGCCTGGTGGGGAGATCCTGGAGGTTAGCCTTGTCTCCCCAGATCTCAATGATGTCCAGGATCTCTGCACCAGTCCAGGATGGGGCCCATCTCCTCCGCCCCCCAGGAAGGGGCTTGGGAGATGCCGGCAGCTGTGCTTGCATCCATGGGTGGTGTGGTGGGGTCTGCCATGGCAGCAGGGAATGCAGAGCTGGCGCTGCTGTGTGTGGTACAGTGCTAGCAGGGCTCATGTAGTGCCACAAACTGATTCCCTCACTGAGGCTGCGGCTTACAGGGCTGCAGGGGAAAGGGAACAATAGAGTTCTTATGGCTGTGGATGGAGTGGCCACCAGGACAGCTGTGAGGAGCCCCGGAGGCCCCTTATTTTGAAATAACTTCAGCTGCCCTGTCTACACATGCCCTATTTCGAAATAATTATTTCAAAATGGGTGTTACTGCTCATAAAATGAGGGTTACAGAATTCAGAATAAAATGCCCATTATTTAGACATTCGAAATAACGGGCTTGCTGTGTAGATGCTCACCTAGTTATTTCAAAATAAAGTGAGTTATTTTGAAATAACACTGCTGTGTAGATGTGCCCATAGTGACTGAAAAACCAGAGAACTTGGAGTGAATTTGCTCAATAATGAATGAAAAAGCTTCACTAAGAGGATAAACTGACCAATTAGTAAACCTAATGCATAGAACATTTTTTAAGATGCTGAAGGCTGACGTGAAGCCCTACATCTTAAAGCAGGAACATGATGGAGTTCTAATTATTCAGCAAGTGGAAGAACTGATAAATGAAACTGTCCATCCCCAAAATATGCAGACAATCCAACATGCAACTGATCCTGAATTTCAGATCAATAGGGTTTAATATTTCACTAGCAATCATACTTTTGAAAATCAATGCTGTCATGGTTGGTAATGCTGTCTTATGGAAGAGATGCTTACGAGACAAAAGGATTGAAGGCAGTAGTCCAAGGATGAACTAACAAAAGCGGTTCTGAAAGTTATTTTAGTTTAGAAAAAGCAAACTATTTTACAAAGTGGCTTAAATGTTGTGCCCTAGATTTTCATAGCTGCATCACTGGATGTCTAAGGCAATAGCAAGTCATATGCAAAAGGCCATGCAGCTACATAGCAGGGTTTTTAGCATCTTGAAATGTGCATCAGATGTGTTTGAAAATGAGCCAGTTGGCCATACACTTTTGTGTACTTGCAACAGTAAATACTGTGAAGGGTAACTATCAAAATTGAGGCATAGTGCACTAGCCAACACCTGCTTCACCAATGCCTGCAGATAATTGTAACAAGAAACACTGTCACACCTCCTCAAATATAAGAGGCATGCAAATGTTTCAAAGTTTGATATATGTGTTCTATCTGGCTTTATCCTACCATTTGTCAAGTCTCCTATTGGAGTGTCTTTCTCTTCACTGTCCATCCGCATTTGCATCTCTATCACATGCCTCGCTCACATAGAGAGACACGAGGAAGAACGGCACATAGCAGGCCCTGCTCATTGGAAAGGGCAAGGTTTAAAATGAGATGTGTTGCACTAGTTGCAGATTTGACCAGAAGAAATACTGATTTCTGGTATGAGCTGATCTCAAACACAAATTCAACATTCAAAAGTAGTGGTTTTCCTCTGCTTTTCTCACCTCTGGCACTAGCACCTTGTGAGGCTAAAATAAGAGGGAACAATCTGTGTTTCAGTACAGGTCTATTAGGGAACACATCAGGGTATAGCTTTGAATGGAGGAAAGTTTGCCTCTGTTCTGATGGGGAGAAGGAACTCTGCAGTTCCACATCTAGAATGGAGGGCTTGCGGTGGTACCAGTGGACACCTGATTAGCCTCTAGAGCAGAGTTGAGCAATAATTTTTGATTGGGAGCCTCAGGAAGAAGGGGCCGGGCCAGGACACTTCCATGCTTCCCTGCCCACAGACCCTAATTGGTCTGTGGGTGGGGAAGCATGTGAAGTCTTTGCCCCCTAGAGAGAACTGCCAGTTGTTCTGAAAAGCTGGTGAGTCTCTTTAGGTGCCCACGCCCCTGGCGGTGGGACGGAGGAGACTTTATGCCCTCCACCCCCAGTTCAGTCAGGGCCCGGGGGCGGGGGAAGCATGTGAAGTCTGCCCCCGCCCTGCAAGGGAGTGCTGCACTTAGAGTCGGCTGCCAGCTGAGCAGCAGCTGGCAGTTGACTCTAAGTGCCAAGCACCTTGCAGGGTGGGAGGAGACTTTGCGCTCCCCCCACCCCCAGGCCAATCAAGTACACAGTCTCCTCCCACCCTGTCCCAGTTCTGCAAGAAGTACACAGTGGTTCGCAATGCTGCACACTCCTTGCAGGGCAGAGGCAGGAGCAGGATAGGAGGAGACTTAGCGTGTTTCCTCCCACTTCCAGGCCCTGATTGGCCTGGGGGCGGGGGAGTGACAGGTCCTCTGTGGGGTGGATCAACCCGCTTGGTGGGCTGGATTCAACCTGCAGAGGCCCTTTTGCCCACCCCTGCTCTAGAGGCTGAGACATGAGTTTCCCAGATTGTTCCTTAGGGACCCAGGAATCCACCCCTTTGCCTCTGGAGTGCCCACTTCCAATCCACTGTCCCTAAAATTACTAACTCAGCCTAGGTCATCTGCATTTCCTATGCTTTCTTGTGTTTAGTACTTCCCAAGAAGCAGAGAAGAACTTCAAGACCCTGAGAGGAGGAGGAGAAACAAAAGGCAGAACTATGTAGCACTGTAAAGACTAACAAGATGGTTTATTAGATGATGAGCTTTTATGGGCCAGACCCACTTCCTCAGAGCAGTATGTGGAAGAAAATCGGCACAACCAGATACACCAAAGTGATACAATCAAAAAAAAGCGAACGCATGTGAAATTGACAAATCAAATTTTAGAACAGAGTGGGGGTGAGAGGGGAAGGTAAGTTTCTGTGAGGTAGTGACATAAAATTTGATTTGTCAATTTCACATGCGTTCACTTTTTTTTGATTGTATCACTTTGGTATATCTGGTTGTGCCGATTTTCTTCCACATACTGATCTGAGGAAGTGGGTCTGGCCCACGAAAGCTCATCACCTAATAAACCACCTTGTTAGTCTTTAAAGTGCTACATAGTTCTGCCTTTTATTTCAG